CCCACAGGTACCCCCCTGAACTCCCCCCGCCTGTCCGTCATGATCCCCACAGGTACCCCCCTGAACCTTCCCCCCGCCTGTCCGTCATGATCCCCACAGGTACCCCTGTGCCCCTCGCCTGTCCGTCATGATCCCCACAGGTACCCCCCTGCCGGTCCGTCACAATCCCCACAGGTACCCCCCTGAACGCCCCCCGCCTGTCCGTCACGATCCCCACAGGTACCCCTGTGCCCCTCGCCTATCCGTGATGTTCCCCACAGGTACCCCCCTGGACCCTCCCGCCTGTCCGTCATAGACTCATAGACTCATAGACTCTAAGGTCAGAAGGGACCATTATGATCATCTAGTCTGACCTCCCGCATGATGCGGGCCACAAAATCTGACCCACCCACTCCTGGAAGAATTCTCTCCCTTGACTTAGCTGTAGAATTCCCAAATCATTATTTAAAGACTTCTAGTCACTCAGAATCCTCCAGCAAGCGACCCCTGCCCCATGCTGCGGAGGAAGGCGAAAAACCTTCAGGGCCTCTGCCAATCTACCCCAGAAGAAAATTCCTTCCCGACTCCAAATATGGCGATCAGCTGAACCCCGAGCATTGCAGGCAAGATTCTCTAGCCAGACCTTCTAGAATAGTACTCTGTACTAACTTTTAATATCCCATCATTGACCATTGTTATTGACCTATTGACTAAAATCACTGTATCCCATCAAACCATCCCCTCCATAAACTTATCAAGCTTGATCTTAAAGCCAGTCATGATCCCCACAGGTACCCTCCGCCCCCCGCCTGTCCGTCATGATCCCCAGAGGTAACCCCCTGCCTGTCCATCACGATCCCCACAGGTACCCCCCTGGACCTCCCCGCCTGTCCGTCACAATCCCCACAGGTACCCCCCCGTCTTTCTGTCATGATCCTCACAGGTACTCCCCAGACACCCCAGCTTGTCCGTCATGGTCCCCACAGGTACTGCGCCCTGGACAGCAGGACTCCTGGGTTCTGTCCCTGGCTCTGGGAGGGGAGTGGGGTCTATTGGTTAGAGCAGGGAGGCTGGGGCTCAGGACTCCTGGGTCTCCCGGCAGGGCCCCAGGGTGCCGTGCTGGTCTCACACGCCCCTGTCTCTCTGCAGTGGAGCAGCACGCCAGCTCCCCCCTGGCCAGCCCCATGTCACCCCGCTCCCTCTCCTCGAACCCGTCCTCGCGGGACTCGTCCCCGAGCCGCGACTACTCGCCCGCCGTCACCGTCCTGCGCTCGCCCATCACCATCCAGCGCTCCGGCAAGAAGTACGGCTTCACGCTGCGCGCCATCCGCGTCTACATGGGCGACAGCGACGTCTACAGCGTCCACCACATCGTCTGGGTACGGCCTGGCCGGGCGAGGGGCTTCGTGCCCCATGGGGGGCAATGCAGACTGGGCATTGGGGGGCCTTGTGCCCTCTGGTGGCAGTGCATGCTGGGAAATCCTTGGGGCAGTGCATGCTGGGAAAT